GTGTAGAAGGCTCAACGTCGCTTATTTCGCTGGTTAGGAGTTTTGATACTATGCTTGGTGTTTATGAAAGCTTCTGCAACTTAAAACAGGCAAGTTTTCTTAACAACTTTAAGTGGAAATTTCTCTTTTTGTAGAATGGGAATTTTGAGGATTAAGTGAGATTCAATGGATGTTGTTTGTGTAACAACAGGTAGATTTGAAGCTAAAGGTTTTCAGAGGGAAGTCAGCTAGGAAAGTTCTTGTACAGGAAGTGAAATCGAGTGGAGCAACTAGTTTAATCGTAGGCTCTTCTAGGAGACATCACACTATCCGTTCATCAGCTTCCTTAGCTAAGTATTGTGCAAGGAATCTTGCTAAGGATGTCTCTGTTTTTGCTGTTAAGAGTGGCAAAATTATGTTCCGCAGAGTACCGAATAACAACGGTATGTTACGGGTTAGATTTCTAGCTTGGTTTGTTCTCTCTTATTTGTATCATAGTTTTTTGGTTAAAGAAAGTTTTGTGCTTTGTAGGTGTAGATGGATCACAAATGAATCTTCCTTCTTTAGTTTGTGGATCACCAGATATTGCTATTGAAGCGTCAAAGATTGGAAACACTTTTAGTCCTGCAAGAATGAGCTCACGCTGGACGAGAACTAGTCGCAGTTCATCGTTGCAGTCTACTGAAAGCGTAGGGGTAGACAATTCATTGGCTTTAGTGCCAATGCAAACAAGTGAGAGTGATTCAGGTTCCCTTGAGTCAGGACCAGGTTGGCATTTTCTTCGTGGGATTTACTCTAATCGGAAAAGCTGGACCAAAGTTTCTGCTAAGAAGGCTGTACTTCAGTGGGTTTCAAGGCTGCGGGGTCGGAATTCAGCAGCTGGTTGTGATGAAGATTGCGCTTCTAGCATCGATGGCGAAGATGTTTCCATTTCACGATCCGGTTCTGAGCTTATGCAGTCTCCTCTTTCTCCCTGCATCGGATCAAACAACATTCCGGAAGAGCTGGAGGGTCTACATGAAAAGTACTCTTCCACATGTAGATTATTCACGTACGAGGAAGTTTTGTCAATTACCTCAAATTTTGCATCTGGTATGTCCCTATCCATGTTCTAAACTGGGTTTAGTTTTGGTCTGACTTGCTTTCATTCAGCCTTTGCTTATGAATCCATCTTTTTCTGTTTCCAGAGAACTTGATTGGAGAAGGTGGTAATAGTTATGTTTATAGAGGAGACCTACCAGATGGTAGAGAACTGGCTGTCAAAATATTGAAGCCTTGTCTGGATGTGTTGAAGGAATTTATACAGGAAATTGAAGTCATTACAAGTGTACATCACAAGAACATAGTATCTCTCTTTGGTTTCTGTTTTGAGAATAATAATTTGATGCTGGTGTACGACTATCTTCCACGAGGAAGCCTTGAAGAGAACCTTCATGGTATATAAATTACATTTGATATTCCCTCTGGATTCTCATACAGTCATACTAAAGAAATATCTATCTTGATTGTTCGCATTTCTTGATTCAGGTAACAGGAAGGATGCAACAAACTTTGGCTGGCTGGAGAGATATAAAGTGGCAGTGGGTGTTGCCGAGGCGCTAGACTATCTGCATAATACTCATGATCCAGAAGTGATCCACCGAGATGTGAAATCCTCCAATGTTCTTCTGGCAGATGATTTCGAGCCACAAGTACGTCTATATCTCAATCTTAATATGAGCCCATTCACAGATGCAATTACAAAAGCTTCCTTAATTTTTGTGATTAACATTGGTATAATATACTGGTTCAGCTATCAGATTTCGGATTTGCCAGCTTGGCTTCAAGTGCATCACAGCACGTGTCATGTGGGGATATTGCTGGGACATTTGGGTATGAAACTTGCTCCTTTACATATATTCCTGTAAAACCATCATCACTCTTGTCAATCTTCTTCCTAACTTTCCTTCTTTGACAGTTACCTAGCACCAGAGTACTTCCTGCACGGTAAAGTAACCGACAAGATTGATGTCTATGCCTTCGGTGTTGTATTGCTCGAGCTCCTATCGGGTAGAAAACCAATCTGCGTCGACCAGTCGAAAGGCCAGGAGAGCCTAGTCTTGTGGGTAAGCATAATTGTCCACAATTTCAAATTTACTACTTCATAAATTTATTCTGCGAATTTGCCATTGCAATCAAAGCATAATCTCTTTCACAGGCAAACCCAATTCTCGAGAGTGGAAAGTTTGCTCAGTTACTGGATCCAAGTCTAGAAACTGATAACAGTAACGATCTAATCGAGAAACTATTGTTAGCTGCTACGCTATGCATCAAACGCACACCTCATGACCGTCCACAAATGGGCCTTGTAAGCTATATAATACTATCATTTATCTTCTCAGGATGCTATAAATCCTTAGTCTTTGCTTCTAATTGCTCGCTTTTGGGGGTGTTATTCATTGATCCACAGGTCCTAAAGATCTTACAAGGAGACGAAGAAGCAACAGAGTGGGGAAAGCAACAAGTGAGAGCCTCAGAAGACGAAGCAGCGGACTTGACAAATATAGAATCACACATAAACCTTGCATTGCTTGATTTGGAAGACGATGCAGCTTCTGATAGTAGCCCTGAAGCTAGTAGTATCTCCGTTGAGGATTACCTGAAAGGGCGATGGAGCCGCACTGCTAGCTTCAACTTTAACTAATAGTTTTACTAGTTTAACCGTGGAAAAACCTCGAAAATCCCGAGTATTTGACGATGTGTAAGTTGTGTAATTGTAATCGATTTTCTGAGGTTTTCGAGCTTTTAAGATTGTGTCAGTTTAGAAACAGTGAGAGAGCTCTTGTAGTTAGGCCAAAAGATGGACTCTGTGTTCTTTGTTCTGTCAAGAGCAGTAAATGTTTCAAGTGTTCCGGTTTATGCATTGACGTATTACTTTACTTTGGTTTTTAAAAGAGCAGTCAATGTTAGCGTTCCGGTTCGGTATGGATATAAATTCTGATTTTATTCCTACTTTTAAGACCGAATATAATAATTAAAAAAATATAGTAGTATAACCAAAATTTGGTTTTGTAGCTTTGTTTACACGTTAAAAAAAAAGGGTTAGGGTTATAAAAAAAATAATAAAGGGTTTAGGAAACTAGGATGACTTGCTCAACATTATTATGGTTTAATTAGGATTTATAGTAAAATCCATTAAATTTCATGTTTTGTTGGAAAAAAAAAACAACTTATGTTGAGAGAACTTTAGAAGAAACTTGATTAGCAAGGAAATCAATTGAGATTTCACAGGGAGGGTCATACATCTTAATATGTGGAGACACTTTAACTTGTGTGCAAAGTTAAACTCCTGGGAAACTTACTTGATTTCTTTAGGAAAAAAAAGGAAATTTCCATATTTTTCTTAAATTTGCATATCTATATAAAGAGCAGGCGACAAGTTATGTTTTCATAAAACTTACTTGATTTCCGACATGGCTAACTCAAATTACACAAGCTTTGTTGGAGAATCCTCTCTTTCTGGT